AGTAGTATTCGTTCAGTTCGTTTCATGCGACAGATGCCGTTTAGACAGAAACCAGTTTTTCAGCCTGCTTACTTTTAGCGATTTTCTCGAAAAACTATGCCGAATTTTTTACAACGCCGTTAGGCCGGTTGTTATACACGTGCAACACCTCGAAACCCTTTCTGAATTATGTATCATGTTCAAGGTGGAGATGATCGAAGAACGTTGCGTAGTCGACGGTAATGCTGTGGAAGTTGTTCTTTGATAAATAATTGTAACTGTATATTTTGACGCTTTTTAGGTGACGGTAGTCCGCGCGCGTACCCAGGTTTATGCGCTGTTCTGTTTGAGTTGCTTGGTGATGTCACCGAACGCTTAATATATCGCACTGAACAGTTCTCTGAAAAGCACATCGCCGGTTATAACCCGGCGCTTGGCGACTTGGCCTATCCCGAAAAACTGCAAATGATGCACGTAAGAATTGTAGCGTAGCACATTACGCCAAAGTAAATTTTTATTGTGAAAGAGGCTAATTCGACACCTTTCGATGGGGGTTACTGTACTCTCTGTCATTCCTTATTTGCGCTTGACTGACCGTTAACCGCGACATGCATTAAAAACCTTTATCGAGCGCATGTTAACTTTTTCGGGGTCGCATCCATTTCATGGAAAATGTCGCAGTGCGATTTCTGAGGTACATAGATTTGAACCAGGGCCAGCACTCACCGTCATGCTCATAGAGGTCATTTTTCCTAGGAGGTTCATTGAGCGGCACACTTCGCTTTCGGAGAGGCGGCGAGTCACGAGTTTCTACACTCTCTCTTATGCTGACATAATATAATAATTTCCAGGGCAGAGAAGCATATATCCATTGTTCAGGTCATTGGCTTTAAACTCTTGATAAGAAGAATTCCGACTACATTCCGTTGATAACGGTTTACTTTTTCATTCATTGCATGTTCTTTTAGGGCAAGGTAACTGATTTTACGGTTTCCAAGCTTGATGCTCCTTAAGTTGTGTGATTTGTATCTATGACATCGTGAGGCTTTTTTCCAGCTTGGCGCTACCCTCAGTTGTCGTCCTAAGTAGATAGCAGGTTTACTAATACAGGTGCTTGGCAATCTTGTTGTGTGTTACTGACGAGCGTCATGTGAAGATTTTATCGTGCGTTTCAGATAAACCCTGGTTCCTAACTTTTT